CATTTGGTCATTCCTTTTCCATTCTTCCCCAAATTCAGAGGGACTTAGAACAAGCAATTCTGTTTTCTAATACGCTGTGCTTGAGGTCTCCAAGAGAGGGGATTTTCAGCAGAGTGAGGTTTTGCATGAGTACAACCTGCACTGCTGGAAATAGGCAGCTCTTCCCATTGCCTTTCCCATCCAGCACCCACAGACCCCTCTACTCCCATCTTATTGCCCACAGGCCACATCTCAACCTATTGGCACTGCCACCAAAGGTCCCCTTGTCTTCAGCAGACCTGTGCCCACACTCACACTATCAATCAGTGTGGAAAATCTGTGGAGATTGGGAAAACAGGACAGTACTGTGAGAAAAGGCTGTGGGGGAGGACTCTCGTTGGGAGTTCAGAGAGCAGGTCCTGGGCTGAGTTACTGAGGGCACAGGGAGCTGGGCCCTCACAGCCTCTGCAGCTTCACCTTCTCTCTGGTTACAAAGTCCTACTTTGGTATCAAAGTCTATTGATTTCACCTTTAGCATCAGGCCCCAGCTGATGCTCGACCTTGCTGCTCTGCTGCTTCCACCCATCACTTTTGGCCCTTTGTTTTTACAACCAGACCTTTTATTTTGCCTCCTGAGAATAGCCACAGCTGCTTCTTTGCATGAGGGCCCGTGTTCATCCCACTGTGTTTCTTCTACAGCTTCCTGGGCAGGGGCAGAGGAGGGGCAGGGACTGAGCTCTGCTCTGGGGGGACCAGGGACAGCAGCCAGGGAAGGGCTGGAGCTGTGTCAGGGCAGGCTCAGGTTGGATCTCGCAAAGGTTCTTCCCCCAGAGGTGGTTGGCCCTGCCCAGGGCTCCCAGGCATGGGGCACAGCCCCAAGGCTGCCAGAGCTCCAGGAGGGTTTGGCTGATCCTCTGGGGCACAGGGGGTGACTCCTGGGGATGGGTCTGTGCAGGGCTGAGGGTTGGACTGGATGATCCTTGTGGGTCCCTTCCAGCTCAGCACATTCGGTGATTCTGTGATTCCCAAAGTGTCCAGATTCCCACAAGAACCTTCCCTGACAACACACCTGAGAGCAGAACCTTACCTGGGATGTCCTGGTTTCCCTCACACACTGCTGGCCCAGCACTGGGGTGGAACAGTGTCCCTGATGTCACTGTGGCTATTTGGGGTCCAGGGGGAAGGAGCTTTAGTGCTCTCCCAGCAGTGACGTGGGTGAGGAGGTGTCAGCAGTGGTTATCTCCCAAGGGATTGTGCCTTGTGCAGCTCCAGCCACTGCCATGTTCCAGCCAGGGAGGTTTGTGTTCCTGAGATAAGAGATGTGTCATCACAGAAAGATTCCCGAAGTGTCTCATATCCCTGGGCAGGTGATTAGGAGGCTGTTGACATCAGTGCTATTATCAGCACTAATTGTACCCAAATGGCTGTGCACACAAGACCCAAATATTTCAGTGACTCTCTTGCTCTGCCCTACTGAAGCTTTGCAATTAAACAACTGTACCCAAGAGACTTATACCAACAAAATCCTTCCTCACTTAAGTGGGTCTGACCTTCCACCCTCGGGGCCTTATGGAAATAACCTGGATCACACACAGCAGTGTGATTGAATTGGCAAGGAAATAACCAGTGTGATCCAAGTTGGACTTTCTCCTCCACCTATAAAGTTTTGTTCTGCTGGTGCTGAAAAGTCTTTTTTCTCTCTGTAGCCATGAAGAGAGAAAGGAGTACTCAGGACACACAATCTGGTGTATTTAGGGAATAAGGAGATCACACCTTCAGTGCTGCTGAGCTCACACTGGTTTAGTCCCAGGTCTACCAGCCAGGGCTGCTTTGGACACCTATGCTCAGTTTCTCTCATGTATAGTCTGACAGGACAGACATCACTTTCCTGAGCATCACCAGGGATTTCTTCAGTGTCTGAGAGCAACAATCTCCTCCCTCCCAGGTGGGCTGGCACCCGAAGTCATTTCCTTATTGTGTTGGGACCAACAACCAACTCAGAGAGTAGCTCTCATTATTACAATCCCTTCAGGATGGAAAACAAAAAAGGGGTTACATTTGTGCTCATCAGGTCCCTGAGCTGTATTTTTGTTTGTGATAAAGATCACAAGCTGAAATGTTTTCCTGGACACGTGGGTTTGTCCTCAGAGAGGGCAGCAGGCTGAGGGTTCAGCTCTCAGGTGGGTATTGGCTGAGGATGAGGCACTTCCTCTCGCCTTCAGTTGTTCCAGGGTAGATTCACTCCAATTGCCTCAATTATTTTTAGTGAATGGAGGTAAACTGTCCATCCAGGAGTCAGGGAAGCTTAGGGCTGTATCAAACCCCATTCAGAGAGTAATACTAAGGACAAAGGGCAGAAGTATGAGGAGAAATGAGCTGAGCTGCAGTGGAAGGTGTCCCAGACACAGAATCACAGCAGAAATCGGGTTGGAAGGGACCTCTGGAGGTCCCTCCTTCTGCCATCTGCTTAAAACAAGGCAATCTTTACTGGCAAAGGAGGTTTCTCAGGGTCTTTTCAAGCTGAATTTGAAGATCTCCAAGGATGGAGATCCCTCAGCCTCGCTGGATCCCTGTTCCAGTGTTTTGCTGTCCCACTGTGGATTTTTTCTGTTAAACCAAGTGCCTCTTGTCTCCTTTGATTTACAGCTCCACAAACAGCCCTGCTCTGCCCCTTTTTCAGCTCCTCACTGGTGGGATGTGGGGCCTCTCTTGGTCAGGTTAAACACACTCAGCTTCAGGCAGAACTGGTTTGTCCTCTCCCATTTCCACCCCATCAGTGCCTGCAGCTCCACATCCCACCTTTGTGTTTGCAGGGCTGGCTCTGTGTGTTCCCCACTCCACCCACCCCTCTGATCCCTGCCCTGGCTGGTCCTGCCCAGGTGGCTCCATGGATTAAGCTGAGTGGAATCTAGAGTTTTATACAGTGTTTTAGAGTCATCTTCATCTGTCACCTCCCTCTGCTCTCTGAGTGATTGCACTCTTGACACAAAGAGTGTCTTGGACAAGTGTTCAAAATGAGCCCAAACCACTGTGGGCCAGTAAATAATGGTCCTAATACAATCTGTGTGATTGAAAAATGACTCTTTGTGTTTCTGTACAGCAGATGCCATTAAATGGTCATCTGATGCTTAATATATCTTGGAGATATGTACCAAGGGCTCAGTTCTGCCAACGTGCTGCCTTCGAAAAATGTGTTGTCTCCAACAGGATGGTGATGCCAAACGGACAGAGCTCTTTAGCTTCCCAAATATTCTCCAGTCAGCAGGGTCTGGAATGCAATGGGCTGGAATCCTGTAGGATAGAATGCATCAGGATTACTGGGTGAATGGCTCCTCTCCTCAGGAGGGGACTGTGCAGTGTCACACAGGGTGGGAACCTCAGGCCTCAGCTTCAGGTCCTTGTTCTGCCACTCATGTTCTCTACAACCTTGGACACAGAGCCAAAATTTCCAACATGTCCTGTGAGCTGGTGGCCAGTCTGAGATACCTGGAGCATGACTGTCCATGGGGAGCACTCACAGATCTGTGCCAGCCTGTGGGAATTCAGCAGCTTTTGGAGAACACCAAATGCCAGCTCTTTTTGTCTCAGTGAGGACTTAGGAGCAAACAAAAGGAGTCCTGACTTGGGATAAGGCTCAGTATGTACCTCTTACTGCTCTCTGAGCCTGTCTTAGCACTAAATAAAATCTGTGCTTTCATGTCCCTGCAAACAAGAACCCCTTTACTCTCCCTGTCTCAGTGTGTGTGCACACACAGATACCCTATGGTTGGTTACAGCCCCTATCTCTGCTCTCTCTACAACCAATAAATAATCAAAAGTGGTTAAAAATATTCTGCACAGGATGGTTGTGAACTAACATAATCCTCTTTGGGAGCCTCTGAGATCTTCCCAGGGTTTCTTTTGTAGAGCACATTAGTGTTGCAATCCATTATGCACAGGGACAGCAGTCTGGAGAGGAAATCATTTGGAAAATGGAAGGGACTCGAGTCCCAAACTATTTCTCATATGAAAGACTAGAAATATGGCATTTAAGGAATGCCAGGAGATATGAGCAACACCAGTATCCTCCTCATCAATATGCAATGAAGGAATTTCTCCTCCTTACATCTTTCTTGGTACCCAAGGTGACATCAGACATGTTCCCTCTGCCAAGAGAAAAGAGCCTTTCAAACTCCATCATCCTTCAAAGGCCACTGTCCCTTAAATCCACACAAGTCACCCCCTTCCTCCTTTCCCTGTGGCTCCAGTGAGAGCTTGTGGCTGCCCTAAGAAAATCAGAGCATTTCACGCTGTGATTATTCCACTGTGTCCATGATATTCACAGAGGGAAAAAAAATCTTGGAGTATCCAGCCATCCAAGGGGAAAACATTGGCTGCAGCTGCACTGTGTGGCATTGCTTATTCTTGGAGAATAGCAGAGAAACCTCAGGACCATTAAAGAAATCCCTAATGGGCAGAAAGCTCAAGGTAGGCTAATAGCTGTGTTGACATTCACCCAGGAACGTTGTTTAATCCTTTTCTTCTGGGCTGCTGGTTCTCCTCCCCCCACTGCTGTGGTGCAGAAAAATTAGGGATTTCTGGAGTGTGGGGACCAGACTCCTGATTTTGGTCAATCTTAAAGAAGTGTGGCTTGGAGTGGGCAGTTTTGGTGCCCCCTTGGGCAGGTCCCAGGGCTGTGATGTGTTCAGAGTGACTCTGGGTGGAGCTTTCTGCTACAACGAGCAGTTTATCTGCACTGCAAGGAAAATGATGGAGGGATGACACAACCCTGGGGTGAAGTGAATGAGGGGAAGCATATGAAAAACTGAACAATAGCCAGGAACTACTTGCAGCAACCACACAGAGAGAAACTGAGCTTTTAAGCCATATTTTTTATTTTATTATGAATATTGTTGTTTTTTTTGTTTGTTTGTTTCTGTTTCTGGTAGAAATCCAACTGCTGCTGGATTTGAGGAACTGAAAATACTGAATTCTAGCTGACGAGTGAAAATATGTTTTTTTCCCTCTTTCTCTCTCCCCAGGGCTCTGGCTGACATCTTAAGGCAGCAGGGACCAATCCCAATAGGACACTGTGAAAGAGAGACTATCTCAGCCATAGATACCTCTCCCAAAGAGAACACCCCAGTCAGGACCTCTTCCAAAAACCATTACACCCCAGTGCGCACCTCCAAGAGCAACCCAGGTAAGTGCTGCTCTCCTCTCTCTCTCCAGAGCAACCAGGGGCCGTGTTAGAAGGCAGCAGAACATCCCACTTTACACCAGCAGACTTTGTAAACCTAAAATTAGGATAATAAATGGCTTTAAAAGGCACCCAGGCAGAGCGGAGCAGTGCAGGGCTCAGTGGTGATGATTCTCTCAGGTTTCTGGGAGCAGAGTGGCTGTTCTCTCTCTCTCCAGGCATTTTAAAAATTCAGAGCCAGCGAGGTATAAATTCAGGCTGTACCAGGAGCTTGTATTGAGTGTAGAACAGTGTGTATTTCCAGCAAAACACGTATGCTGAGAGGCTTTGTGGGGCTCCCTGCACTGAGCAGCTGGGAAGAGAGAAATCCGTGGAATTGGGGCCTCCGTGCTTATCCAGGGGAACTGTGGCCATGTGCTGAGAGGATGGTGTGGGAGGTGACCTAGAAGAGCTCCAAAGGTCCTCTAGGAGCATTGGCCTGGAATTGGGGACACACCTTGGGGTTTATTTCAGCTTCTACAGCTGGGTGAATTTGGTGAAATCCTTTACCTTCTTTTTGCATTGATTCCCCCAGTGGCACAGGGCTGGGGAATAAATATATTGTTCTGGGTTATTTAATGCTTCAGAGGTTGATAGTTGCCTGAGCAGTGTCTAAGTGGGTGCTGCACACCTCTGTGGGGGGGATGTGGCAGATCTCCCAGCAGTTACCACCTCCCATTTGCTCTGGGTGTGTGCCCAGAGCTGGGCCCTCATTCACTCACAACCTGTTCAGCCTCCCGTGGGAGGTTCTGGTGGCACTTCCTGACCTGTGTCACCTGGTGAGCAGAGGAGGTTTCACTCATGGTCCCTGCTGGAGAAGCTTTTGAAGGAAGGCAGTGGGAGCTCAGGCTGCTCCACGACCTGCAGGGTTCTGCTCTGAGTGGGAAGGGCGTGTGGCTGAGGCAGGGACTGTGTGGTTGGGACTTTTTGGTTGGGACTGTGTGGTTGAGACTGTTTGGTTGGGGCAGTTTGAAGGGTTTTGGTGCAGTGTTCATCACCCTGTGCAGACAGGCCCAGGTGATGATGTTCTCTGGAAGCCTTTTGCTGAGAACAAAGTAATTTTCCTGAGAACTAAGAAGGATTCCTTTGCTCTCCCATTTCCCTCAGAACCAGGGACCCCTGTAATTCTCTACACCAGAGAGTTACCTGTGCAGTAAAATGTTGGTCTGGAGAACAGCACTTGAGTTGTCTTCTCCAGCTGAACATGACCCCATTACAAAGGACAGCAGTCAGTGAGGAGTCCACTTGGTGCTGGCTGAGGGTTGGGACATGAGATGAGCAAGGCAAGATGCCTCAGAAGGGGAAGGCACCTTGTCTGTGGGTTTGCCCAGACTGTGTGAGGGACAAAAGCCAGGACAGCCCAGCCAGGGCTCCAAAAGGCACCCACAGGCAGCAGGAGCCACTAAAGGAGATACTCCCAAACCCAGCCCCGAAGGAGAAGGGACTTCAGTCCCAGCAGAGCCTCCCACAGCCCTTGGCAGCTGTAGGGTGATGGATCAGTGCTGCCAGTTGGACTGAATATCACAGCCAGGCCTTGCCAAAGCTGGGAAGAGAAAACTTGCTCTTGTAAACTGCCCAAAAGAACTTGTTCCTGGCTGTGCCTGCTGTTAACATGTCCCCATAGATCATAGGAGACAGGAAGCTAATCACTTACAAAGGATCCTGAGCTCATAAAACAGCCATACAGGGAATGTTTTCCTGTCAGGTTTCCTTGGCAGAACAGGGTGATGCTGGATCTGTGTTCTGTTACTCAGCTGAGCTGCAGATCTTTGTGGGAATCAGGAAATTGTATAAGTGAATGCTAAAACCTGGGAAGGAAGGAAGTAAAAGTTGGAAAATGAGTATGTTGAACTAGAATAAAGTTGGTAAGCCCTGGTGTGGAGGTAGAAGGGTCACTAATACTTATTTTATTGAAAAGGGAAAGAAAATTTTAAAAAAGGGAAGGAAATAGGGGACAGCTTGGGGAAAAACATAGAGGCAGAAATGTGCAGTAAGATCCAGGCAAAGCACTGCTCACTGGTGCTGCAAGTTGGCTGGAGAAGACCACAGCTGTAGAGTTTTGTGGTGGGATCTGAAAAGCACCAGCTCTGCTGGCTGTGGGTTTTCTCAGCACTGCAGAGTAGGAGAGGTTGAGCAACCAGAAAGGACTGTCCTCATTACACACCTGCTGATTGAGTTTGGGATTTGTTTTACTTGGAACTTCTGTTTCCAAACTTATAATTGGAAGGGTGCCCTGCAGTCCTGCTAAATAAACCATGGCTTCATTTTTCCATCAGGCTGGTTTGGTGTCAGTGAGCAGAGAGAGTGGAGGTGACAGTGACAAATGGAGGTGGGCTCAGCTCAGGCAGTGGAGCCCAAGCAAAGCAGCTCCTGCAGGTGCTGCTGAGGGCAGGGCTGGGGCACCTGCTGGGAGGTGCCTGGAGTTCCTGAGGGAAGGATGGAGAGAGGGGAGGAGAGGAGATGGAGAGGAGTTCATCTCCCACATCCCACCTCACACCTGAACTCCTCTGGGGTCATTCCTGTTCGTCTTGGATGCTCCCCAAGGAGCCTCAGGGGAGACAGGACCCTGCTAACTCTGTGCTCTGTGGGTCAGCCAGTCCCAGCCATGGAAGTGATGGGATGAGGGCAGGAAAAAACCCTGGAAACTTGGCATGAGAAGCTCTGAGATGCACAGCCAGCTCCAAAGCAGCAGTGGGACACTTCAGACACGGAGGCAGTTGGAGCTCTCTGACTGTAGCCTGCACATCAGCAGCCCTTTCAGCTTCCCCCCTGCTTCCTGATCCTGAATAGATTAATATAGATTTAAGCAGGTTTAACAGAAACCCTTGTTCTGCTGAGCTCTGCACCCTGGATGCCACACTGAGCACCTGTGACCTCAAGCCTGCAGCACTGGCCTTGTGCTCTAAACCTACAGCCTGAAAACATCTCCACACCTTCCTTCCATCCTGCAGCCCCCACAAAGGCTGATTCCTTCCAGGGTTCCACGAGGACCCTTCCTGTAAGGCTCTGCTTGCTGGAAGGAAGATGAGCTGCTTCTGTCCCCAGCGCTTGCTGATGCCTGAAGGGCAGTTCAAGGCTGAGGCAAAGCCCTCAGTGACCTCCCCAGGCAGTTCATAGCAGGTGGTTTCAGAAGTCCCTGAGCTCTGCAGCTGGGCTGGTGTTGGGTGCAGCCTTTACTTCTCAGTCCACATCTAGATAAGGCTTGTCTAAGGGAAAAAGGAGAGTGTCTCTGTCCTAGACATGGAGACAATTGCTGTTCAGACAAGGCAGCTGGTTTTGAGAGGGCTTCATCCTGCTCCTGTGCCATGACCCCCTTCCCCAGGCAGGATGGGAGCAGCTGGTTCTAGGAGGCAGAATGCATTTCCCACACTGGGATCTGCCAAACCTGAGCTCCCCAGGTGTCTGAAGAGCATCTCTCCAGAGTTTATTGCCACTTTTGCTTCCCTCGGAGAAAGCAGCTGGGGACAGCCCCTTCCACCCCCTCTCACTTCTGTGGACACTTTTGGTCACTGTTTTTATGCAGTGCCTGTGTTTGGGTGGTGGTTGGGTCTTTCCAGGTAAAGAAAACCTGGAAGCTGTGCCCACAGAGCGCTCGGGTCAGAGCACATCACTCCAGCTGATCAGTAGGAGCCAGGAATGCTCCTCCAGCCCCCAGATCTCCTGTTGGTTCAGTTTGTTGTTGTGAGCAACAGGTAAAATGTGAGGAATCTGAGATTCCACAATATCCATCTCATCTCTGTTGGCACTTTCAATATCTCCATCACAGCAGGGCTTTTAGGGGTTTGGGGAGGAAAACTCCAGCAATATTTCCCTCTATCTTCTCCTTGGCCACATGTGTAGGGGCAGGTTTAGGGGGTCTCAAAGGTCAGGGAGCGGATCTAGAGGGGTCACAAGGGTGTAGGGGCATATTTATGGGGGCTATAGGAGGATTCTGGGGGGTCTCAGGGGTGTGAGAAGTGGGTCTAGGGGGCTCATGGGGGCATAGGGGTAGATTTAAGGGGGTTATAGGGTGGTTTGGGGTCTCAGGGGTGTGGGGGTGCAGGTTTAGGAGGTGCCATAAGGTGTAGGGGCTGTGCTGACACCTCTTGTGAAGGTCAGTGCCACTCATGTGTTCAGTGGATGGACAGAAACACAGACAGGAAGGAGGAGAGATGGGAGAAAGGTCAGTAGTTCCTGCAGGGGTGGGAAATGTCCCCCAGAGGCAGCTCCATGTGCTCCACAGGGGAAGGGGCTACACTGGGCACAAGGGACAGAGTCTGAGCCAGAGGCAACTCCTGCAACATCCACAGTGAACTGGTGTGTCAGAAAGGGTGAAGGCAGGTCCTGTCACAGTGATGCTGAAGGGACACTAAAGATCATCCAATTCCACCCCCTGCCATGGGCAGGGACACCTCCCACTAGCCCAGGTTGCCCCAAGCCTCGTCCAACCTGGCCTTGGACACTTCCAGGGATGGGGCAGCCACAGCTTCTCTGGGCAACCTGTGCCAGGGCCTCACCACCCTCACAGGGAACAATTTCTTTCTTATAAATCTAATTTAAATCTACCCTTCTTCAGCTTAAGGTCATTCCCCTTTGTCACTCCAGGTCCTTCTGAAAAATCCCTCTCCAGCTCCTGGAGCCCCTTTAGGGTCCCCGGAGCCTTCTCTTCTCCAGCCTGAAAAGCCCCAGCTCTCTCAGCCTGCTGATGTTTTTGAAGGCCTTATGGAAATATTTGAAATATTTCTGGCCTTCAAAGGAGATTTGAAGGCCTTTTGGAACTCAGATGCAAAGGGTTGCTTTGCTTTTCCCAAAATGTGGTGAAGCAAAGCACCTGGAAGATTCACAGAAATCGTCAGATGGGAGTTTTCTGAGGGCCTTGAGGGGGGGCCAGCTCAGGGTGACAGTCACACACGGGGTCTTTCTATTGCTGTTCTCCAAACCAAGTAAGGATTTGAAACCTTTGGCTGCTGGAAATCAGTGTTGTT